ATGCAGATCACAAAATGAAAAAAAAACTTTTAATATTTAAATCTGATTTACCATTACTCAAAATGCTGTTTTAATATCACATGTATTACATAAAATTAAATAATCATACTATGTCTCAAGACTACAGATGAAGCTGGACAGGGTTAAGAGTGAGGTGTCGACTATCCTCTATATAGCACAGAATATTATGTATACCGCACTGATACTTGGAGCGGAGTTGGGTAATGATATTGGCCAGTTCGACTTCATTAGATGATAGCCTTTCCTCTTTTGGTATATGATCACTTTTTTTTGCTCTTTTAGTTTTTACTTTTTCTTCTTCAGAATCCGAATCTTCAATGTTAATTACCGACGAATCCTATAAATATTGGATATTTAATTTATAAAAAGCTAAGTACAGATATACTGTATATTCTCTTTGACCGTATTAATATTGACCTTCTTTAAATTGTATATTAAAAATATTAATATCATACCTTAACCTTTTTTTTTCTTTTTTTTATATCATGATTATCAGAGAAGTTTAGCATAATATACAGAACCATATTTTTGGTTGACTTTTTTATTTTCTGGAACTCTCTTATAAAAGCATCGTAATCATCATCATCCTCTAATGCTATTTCTTGACCACAGCTATTTACTTTGTAAGTAATTTTAATATTATCGTTAATGTTAACATTATTAGTACTGGTACACTTACAAATATGATCAGTAAGTTGGTTATGAAAAATAGAAAATTTATCTGAATTAAAAGTAAACCATTTTGCAGGCATAGAGATAGAGTTTTCAACCTGAATTATAACCTTAGAATTTAGTTGTAAACAAGAAGAGCTTTCCTTTAATGAAGCCGAAGAATCATCATCATAGTTATCATCATCATCACTAGTGCTTGAATCTTCAGAACTCTTAGCACGTTCATACTGTGAATGGCAGGCGGAGCAGAAACTTATATTAAATGATGTATTGAAATTACAGTTATAAGCGAAGAGACGATCATAGTGTCGAAGTAACTGTTTTTGATTAGATGAGGTTTTATAGGGATCATATATTCAACTATAAATTTGCTGAGAATTGGTCTTAGCACAAGAAGGCTTTATATTAATATCATATTCACACAAATCTATAGTGAGATTAGCAGAACAAAACATGCATTTTTGATATGAAAAGCATATGCCAATCTTATAAAGTGATGACATTTTTTTATTTTTTTTTTTTCAAATCGATGCTTAAATATTCGTGAAAATTAATTGTTTAAGAACCAGAAGCTCTGAATGGATCTAATGGCAATGATTTATTAAATTTTATTTGAAGCTCTATTAAGTCTGTCACAAACTCTATTAAAGACATAATAATTGTTACATACTATCACGATATAATGAAATATATTCTATATAACAAGATCAATACTTTGATACTACTAAAACAAACACCAACAACCCTGAAAAAATCATGCTTATAGACAAACACCTAAATCCACACATAA